AAGTTCAATTAAAATAAAATAATTAACATATAATAACTAAATTAAATAGAAAATTAGAAGAAAAAAATACAAAACAAAAATAAATTTTAAAAAAACGAAAAAAATATAAAACAAAAAATACAAATATATATATATATATATTAAAAAGAAAAAAATATCCAAATCCCTATTGAGAATCCCTAAACCAAACAAGAGGACTACTCAGACATGATTGTGGAAGAAAACATGTTTTAAAGTAGGAATCTTGCAAGAAAACAAGAAGAGAATAGAGTTTTGAAGAATTTTTTCTGGAGGGAGCTCCACAGGGTTTACGTCCAAGAACAAAATAAAAATAAAGCTTAGGTCTAAACAATGACCTTAAGAATATATTTATATTGTCTTAAAAACGTGTAGAGACTTCTTTGAAAAAAGAGAAAAATTTTGGGATGATTCTGCAAATATTCAAAACTTCAAAAACACATGAGATCGAATTGCAGTTAGATATTGGTGTCGATCGACACATACACCAAGATTGGTCTCCGGACTGCTCTTGTATCATCATAACATCTCGTTTTTGCTCTAGAATGATCCATATTCTCCAAATTGGTCCCGTGCATGCATAAACCTGAAAAACACTAGAAAAGACTCTAGAAATAACAAAAATACTCTAATAATAATACCTATATCATGTTTAAAAAACCGTAAAAACCATGATATATCAATATTATTAGGGGAGATTTTAATTCATTTGATTAATTATCATGAAATACAACAAGTCATTTATATTAGGGTTTCGTGCAAAACCCTTCAAAGTCGCCAATTTTTGCAACTTTACCTTCAACCTCAAAAAAATGTAGAATAATCATATGAAGTAAAAAATAATACGCATTATAACCCCTTTTCGCTATTCTCAAGTTTTTAAAATTTTGATAAATAATATATCAAATTGAAGCCCTCGAAACGAGGAGTTCAACTCTACCCTTAAAATTTGAAAAACCAAATTTATGTGATTGTGAAAACGTTTACAATATATTTATAAGGGCTATATTGCGTATTATTTTTGACTTCATATGATTATTCTGCATTCTTCGGAGGTAGAGGATAAAGTTACAAAAATTGATGATTTTGAGAGTGTTTTTGTACAAAACCTTTTATATTAATACCTTTGTTGCATCATCATCTGTTTTCAAATCTACGTAATACATTTTTAGATTTTTCATTTATGATTAAATCATCTTTCATTCCTTAAAGTAATTAAAAAAAATTATGAAAAAAGAAAATTACGCAAAAATATATTTTAAAAAATTATCAACTCTTCTAGATCTTTCATATATTTGCAAAGTTAACTTTCAATTACAAGATAAATAGGCTAAAAGTGAGAAAGGTAAAAATAAATTATTTGCTCCTTTTATAGTCGTTTTTTCTATACATTTTTTTTTGGTCATATAATAGATTTTTTACTTCATCTCGAATCTCGATAATGTGCTTATTTAGCTTAGATATCTTTTATTTTTTTGGTAAATTACTTACTCAGATTTCTTATAAATGCATATTAATCTTTTGGTTTCACTGAAGCTTTTTTCGTTTTGGTTTTAATGCAATCGATTTGGTATGGTACGGTGGATTTGGTTTGGTAGACTATCCTCTCACACCAAAATGAATCTTTTTTTTTTATCACTCTCTCTCTCCCTCTGTTTTAAAATGACTCTTTTGGTTTTGGACTCTCTTCGTTTTTCGTATTAGAGTGTTGGTATCATCTAATACTATGCAGTTGGTTCCCGGTATTGCATGATTTTGATTACAAAAGCCTCATACATTTCAAGGTTTAGTGTTTTCTAATCACTCAGATTTGTGTCAGGTGAAATGGATAGTTACTGGAGATTGAAAAACTTGGTTAGTATACTCCGTTGAGTCGACAAGGATCAAGTATACTCATTGACAGATGACAGTAGATTAGTTTCAGACCTTCTTAGTGCTTAGGAGAATATATCTAGAGCTGAAGAAAAACAAGAGGGTTTGCAGAGGCATGGCTCGGATACTTAGCCAAAAAAGTGTTGATAGACTGAGAGAAGTTTCAACTCCTTTATTTGAACTATCTATACATCCCAAACAGAACAACATCTTCATGTCAGTAACAATAAGCAATCAAAGAACTTTATAAAAAGCTTTAAAAATCTATACTTTCTAAAAATCTATACTTTCATAACACTTGACTTAGAGTTATCATTGGTGCAAAGAAGGTTTTTGGTCGTTCCATAACGGCTGCAGCATATAGTTTTTGGTCGTTCCATAACGTTGGTGACAGCCTGAAGAAAGAAAGATATACATGTATTACGCGAAAATGCCTTTTTTCAAGCTCTTCTTAGTAATTCTGAATAAGAGTAGAGTTCAGGTTTAATCACCTGATGGGCAGCTTGACGATACTCTGTTCACCGTAACTTCTAGGATCGAAGAATGATGATCGTCCGACGAAAAACCTAACTGTAATTAGATGAAAAGTTTTTAATCTTAATACTTGAAAGAGTTGTTAGTTTGTTACGGACTATAAAAAAAAATCGATTTGAATGTCAGTTTTGTGTAATAATCATCGAATCAAACAAAAAGTCCTGAAAGATTTCCCACATTTGTTCATACTTTGTGATGAAATTACAGTACACTGTTAAAATTCATATTGTTTTTCATTTCATTACATATGAGTTAAATAGTTGAAATGATCAATAATAGTGATCGAGGATTAAAGAAGATAAAGAAAAACAGAAGTTGCAGATACACAGCACCTCTTATGTGGCCCACTGATGTAAAGTAATATTTCAATCCTCAAAGAAGAGATTAACATTTATATTAGATTACCTTTTTAGTAAAGGTTTCTTGTAGTGTACGTTGGTGACAGCCTGAAGAAACAAAGATATACATGTATTACGTGAACAAGCCTTTTTTCAAGCTCTTCTTAGTAATTCTGAATAAGAGTTCAGGTTTAATCACCTGATGGGCGGCTTGAAGTAAAGTAAAAATTCAATCCTCAAAGAAGAGATTAAAATTTGCAGATACAGAGAGCTTTCAAATTCCTCAACATTGTACAAAATCTATCAACATTTAGATTAGATTACCTTATTAGTGTATGTCTCCATTACTTCACCACAAGCTTCAGTTTCATCAAGGGTGTTTCATAAATCACGTTTTGAAGATTCATCAAGGAAGCTCCGAGAGTTGGAATACCCCACATTCTTTTATCTTCCAATTCTTACTGCTGATCTTGAACTCAAAGACAAGCTCGCTGGAAGTCACATCTGCTTCGACTTCAAATACGTACACATGCTCTGCTAAAACTGGATATAAATAATGCGTACTTTCGTTACAACTAACAATGTAGACATTTTCATCCATCCAGTTTTTATCATCACGAGCCTCATTGTCACCTTTATGAACCAGCAAAATGCAAGCCTTAAACCGCATGGATGTAGGAAGAGGCTTCTCGTTCAGCTTGATTGTCAAGGAACCTCCAGTAGTAGATTGGTGAGTGAAGTATGCAGGCACTTCTCTGCCGGGTAAGACCGCATAATTACTAGTTGGTGTCTGGATGATGAGGTCTCTGGCTTCTTGATTCAGTTTGAAGCACTTAGCAAATTTGAGGCAAATATTTGGATTGTGAAAGGAGCAATCTAGTCTCTCCAGGGACTCACAATCTTCGGCATATATGTAAGTGATGGAATCTGGAATCTGTGGGAGTGATACCAGCTTTTTGCATCCCTTGAGTATGAGTACTGTTAAACGAGAGAATTTCTTGACCCATGGGGGAAACTCTTGTATTTCTGTATTGGTCATGTGCAGCTCTGTGATGATGTCAAAAGCATGAGGAAAGTTCTTGAGATTTTCACTGTATGACATATCCACCTCATTGAGACGAGACCATGATTTGATTGATGAAGGGACTTCTTCTATTGCAGTTCCATCGAGCCTGAGAAATTCAACGTTTGTGGAGATCTCAGGAAACCTTTTCAACAGCAAGCAATCAGTGAGATCAAGTTCGCCGAGAGATCCCAATTTGATGTTGGCTGGAAGATCTTCTAGCTTAGAGCATCCTCGTAAGGTCAAAGTTTGCAACTTCTGAAGGTTTCCAATAGAAAAGGGGAGCTTTACCAGACTTGAGCATTGGCGAAGGTTTAAAACCTCAAGGTTGGTGGCATTTCCAATCGAGAAAGGGAGCTCCACTAGACATGATAAACTGCTAAGATCCAATTCTTTTAGATTGATGAGATTCCCAATAGAGGAAGGGAGCTCCACTAGACATGATAAACTGCTAAGATCCAATTCTTTTAGATTGATGAGATTTCCAATAGAGGAAGGGAGCTCCACTAGACATGATAAACTGCTAAGATCCAATTCTTTTAGATTGATGAGATTTCCAATAGAGATCAGGAAGCTCCTTTAAGAGGAGAGACGAACTCAAATCCATCCGCTTGAGATTTGGAAGCGGCTATACATACAAATAATAAGAACATGTATATACACTTAATTAGAAAACAGACTTCCATGCTATTGGTAATTAATTAAAATAAAATTGTACAAAAGATAAATTATTAATTTGAAATTAATAAAATATCTAAAAGAAATAAATCAAAATTACTTACTTTAATTCCTTCCCACAACTTCTCAAGTTTGCTGTAAGACATGTCTAGTTCAACCAGAAACTCCGTGTTGAAAATAGGAGGCAAACATGTCATCGGAAAATAAGTCCAGTGTAGTAATCGAAGTTTACGAGATATATACTCTAAACCGTGCGGTAGATGTATTGTATTGTTATTCCCTTTGACTCTTAAGAATTGGAGATTAGACATTCCTTGAAAGGCTCTCTCACTTATATGTAACTTTTCCTTGATCCTATCCTCACCAAAGTTGAAATTTATGCCCATAAGACTTCTACTACCCTGAAAAACAGAACATAAATCATATGAAATGGTCACTTATTAAATCAACACGATTTGTGGAGAGAAATTTCAAAACTTACGTTCGCATCAAGATTGAGTACTTCACAAATTTCTCGTGCATCAACCAAAAATAGGCGTTGTCCAGGCTCACGAATAGACTGTTTACGGACAATATCTCTACCTAGTTTGACTAGCAAATCATGCATGTTTATATATCCCCTATTCAAAGATATGAGAGATTTCTCAGCTAAGACATTAAGCCGATGACTCACATCCAAGAACGTCTCTGCGAGATAATCTTCCACTTTCTCAATCTCTTCATGATTGAAGAAGCATGCTATATGAAGAAACAAATATTTGTCTTCATCATCTAAGGCATCATAGCTGAACTTCAAAATGCTAAGAATATTAGCATCAAGGCTATTCCTTAACCTTGGTAGTGCTTTCATCCACTCCATCTTAGACATTCCCCGAAAATAAGAACCTATAACCCTAAGACCCAAAGGAAGTTCACCAGCAAGTTGTGTAACTTCCTGAGCAAGTTCTTCAAAACGACATTAGGGGAGTTTTGACCAAAAGCATATGTGCACAAGATTTGAAGGGCCTCTTCAGTTGATGGAAAATCAATCTTGTAAATATGGTTAATCCCATGTGACCTGAAAAGCTTTCGATCTTGCGTTGTAATAATAATCCGACTCCCAGGACCAAACCACCAAGTTTCTTTCACCATGGCATCTAGTTGCATTGACTTGTCCACACCATCAAGAACAACAAGAACTTTCTTGTCTTTTAGCCTATCTTGAACAACACCTAAATGAGAAATCTTCATATCACTCTGGTTGGTTATTTGAGACATAAACTGCTGTTGTAACTGCAACTTGGCACTATAGTCATCGGAACATGGTCTTGTATATTTTGCTTCGATAGATTCCATAAAGACACTCAGTTGAAAACTGCCGGAGAGTTTGTTGTATATAACTCTGGCGATGGTCGTCTTCCCAATCCCAGAAGGACCCCAAATCCCAATCATCCTCACTTCATCTGAGTCTAAACATAATAACGGTTCCATCTTCTCTAAATGTTCTCTCATTCCAACCAACCCATCGAAATCACTTGATGATGAAGAATTATTCAACAAGTTCGAAATATCAGTAGCGATTTTTTTAATCATGGCCGCTTCATTATCCCTAACAACAAAGAAGATCACTACATCCATTAAACAATTATGGAGAAGTCACACACATTTAAAAAAACTATGAGTTTCTGTGATTTGAAGAAGCTATTAATATATACAGTTAGATGTTTGTTAGGAAGACAACGAACCAGTTGGTCGAATGGTAACCGGCGATTGTGGCGACATTTGCCAAAGCTTGTCTCCATCTCCCAACGTGCTCTTTTGTTTTACCGGCACATGTTTTTTTGAAGACTTTTCCAAAATCTCCGGTCAGCTTCTTTACATCAGATGGATCCACTTTATAGAAAACAGCCAAAACTGTTTGACCCAATTCGTCCCTGCACTTCATAATCTCCGCCAATTCGTCAAGACACCAGCTCGAAGAAGCGTAGTTTCTTGAGAGCAAGATAATTGCGATCTTGGATTCTCTAATTGCTCGAATGAGTTCGGGACCGATGGATTGTCCTCTCTCGATCTCATTATCAATGAATGGTGTGATTCCCATTCTTTGAAACTCCATCTGAATGTGACTAAGAAAGTCTCTACGGACATATTCCCCTCGAAAACTTGGAAACACATGGTGTGTCCAGATGCGATCCAAAGACGATGGAGGAGACAAAGACGATGAAGAAGACGGAGGTGATGAAGTAGAAGAAGAAGAATTATTTTCTTTGTCATCTTCTTGATGGCATCTGAGATTTCTAAGAAGCGTGAAGAAGCCTATTGCAGCAGCAACAGTGGTAAGGATAAAAGAAGAAGAAGAATCCATTAGTTAGTATATATTATTGGAGAGAGGATTAATAATATCAGAGAGCTTTAAAGAGAGCTATGCGGATGAAGAAGTTGCAAAACAGACTTATACTAAACAAAGAAGGTTGACTCCATTGACCGAGAAAGTGAGAATATTTTGAAACTGTACTAGCAAACAAGAGGATTAGCTTTGGTATAGAATGCAATAACAGATAAAGTTGAAGAAAATCTAAAATATGAAAACAGATAACTAGAAAAAATCAAACGTATAAAGCAAGCAATAAGCATCGAGTTTTAATACATATATACATGCCAATTCTACAACATTTATAGTTTTATTTCCTAAATATAAGTCATGAATATATATTAACAAAGAAACTATACTATCAAAAATAGAGGTTTTAGCTTCTTGTTTTCTTTCATGTACCCAATTCCTAGCTATTTCCTCGCAGACGTCAATAATTGGTCCTACAATAGACAAAGGAAGCTTCGTCCAAAGAAAAAAGAAAAAGAGCAGTATCAAGTTTCAATACAAACATGGTAACTAACTTCTCCAGCATTTATATCCAAAGACATGATTTTTTGAACAAGTCATGAAATGTTGAAATTCTGAATCTAAAAGAAGCAAATTAGCAACTGAAATCCGAATCTATGATGCAAATCAGAAATGGGAAACACAAGGAAGCAGTGACTAAAATCAATGTCTCTATCAAAAATCTAAAATTTATAGAAAAGATGTGAAAATACTTACATCGAGTTTTGATATAGAGATGCCAAATCTCCAACATTTATAATGGCTATGATTGGTCACAAAATTTAAAGCTGTACAAAGCTGTTGTTACCAATCAAGATAAATTTATCAAAAGCGGTACATAATAACAAAAACAAGTTTTTTTTTAGACAAAAACAAAAACAGTTTAAAATAATAAAAACTATACTCCCTCTGTTCCTAGTTATTTGATGTTTTGAGTTTTTTACTTGTTCAGCCAAGATTGATGTTTTGTAAAAACATCATCATTGTTTTTGTTTGCGACTAATAGATAAAGGTGAGAAGTACTAATATTATTAAACTAACAAAATAATAATTAAAAAAATTTTAAATTACTTTTTCTTAAATTGTGTGTAAAACTCAAAATATCATTCTTTGAAAAAGTGAGGGTGTATCAAATTAAAATTATCTCTCTACAATTTTCTAGGTATGACCACGGTTACGGTTATTACGATTACGGTTAATTAATCACCGGTTACGATTATAAACTTTTTTAACCGTAACTTTAACCATTATATATACGGTTAAATATGGTTACAGTTACAACGGTTACGGTTAAATACGGTTACGTTTATTTGATGATTACGATACAGCTAATATCAGAGGCGAAATCTTACGAGTTACCTAATTTTTTATATTACTTTTAAAAAGATGAAAAAGTATGCTATAAACCAAATTTTCTTGAGTTCGAGCAATATAACATTACAACATATTTGTTTGAGAAATTACTAGTAAAAACAGAGCTCATTTTTATCTTATGAAATTTTCATCAAATTTCAAAGAAAATTCAAATCTGTATCATTGAGGTTTCTCATAAGAAAAGTCTCCTTTTATTTACAAGATTTTTAATATATCTTTTTCTTTTTCTCATAACAAATACCAAATTTTTTTTTAACCATCTATTACATTATCATTATAGATATTTGAGCTTATCCTATTACGATGATAATCAATTACCTACAACATATACAATTATGATGAACAGCTCCCACAAACAATGATTCCACATTTCAGTTCTCCGTGCAACATTCGAATCTCTAATGAACCGTTTTGCATGTACGACATCCCCACTAACCGATTAACAAGTTAATGGGTAACTTTTCCAATCGAAATTACTATATCAATGTGGCCATGATTCCTTTCAAGTAATGTAACACCCTGGTTTCAAGAATGTGGTGTTAAAAGAGTTGATTTGACCACCTATGTCACCAAAGTGCACTTATCTTTTCGGTCAACTGCCCTGAGAGAACTCCACAGTTAAGCGTGCAATTTCAGGATGGGTGACCTTCTCGGAAGTGATTGTCAGAACTGTGTGAGTGAGGACAAAACACAAGAAAAGATCATGTGGTAATTTGTAGGAACGGTAAACAAGTCTTTAAAGCCTCCTGGACGTAGCGGACCGGCCGAGAGAGGACGTGGACCCATTAAGAGAGGTGTGATGGTCAGGGCATTTCAAGTAATGTTGAAAGCTATTCGCATAAACAAGGAAAACATTTGTATCAGGTAGACCAAATACCGAGTGGTTAGGAAGTAGTATAAATAGTTATTCGGAAAAAAAAATACAAAGTTCTGATTTATATATATATTTTTTTGGTAGTAGTTCTGATTTATATTTTGTTGTAATCATCATATTTTTGGATGAGTTGCGTTTTTAAATATTGTAGATTTATATTTGATATGAGTCAAATTAACCTAAGACTACTCTGTCAAATAAAGAGATCATGTATAGCATTTTAGGGTCGAATTCCACAAAGCTCTCGTTGTTCACACAATAGACTAACATGTTTTGAATTAAGCTAAACAGAAAATTAAGTAAATTAAAATACAAAAAAAAACCTTTAAAAATAAGTTGTAAAACAGATAGATGAAACGTTAGGCTAAGGGATTTCTCAGGAAATATTAGAATAGTAGATCTAGCAATTAGTTAGGAATTATTGGAATTATTAAAGAACCGTTCTTAGAACTCAAATAAAAAAACTATAATCAACCAACTCTCGTCTGAATTGACTATCTATGCTTAATAGCAGAAATTCCAACTCTCGTCTGTAAATTAAATCCCTAAAACTAAGAAAGCATTAAGATCAGGTTCGATATGTTCACAAAAGTATCTAGACCAACTCTCGTCTGTATCTAACTACTTCTGCCCACCTAAGATAGTTCTAGTAATAAGCGCACTCTCGTGTCTAACCTATTATCCTAAGATCAAGTTATAGTTAATTACTCTAGAACTAGCATTAAGAACAATCAAAGATGAAGAACTCTAGAGATTTATTTTACTAACAGGTTATCGATCTACTAATTCATCCAAATCCCTATTGAGAATCCCTAAACCAAACAAGGACTACTCAGACATGATTATCGAAGAACAAAACATGTTTTAAAGTAGGAATCTTGTAAGAAAACAAGAAGAGAATAGAGTGTTGAAGCATCTTTTCTGGAGGGAGCTCCACAGGGTTTACGTCCAAGAACAAAATAAAAATAAAGCTTAGGTCTAAACAATAACCTTAAGAATATATTTATACTGAAAATTACCTAGTTTGACCCAAATCTAGAGAAAAATAACTAGATTAACACCCAAATATTGTGGTTTACTAGAATAACACAATTTTTGTGTTAAAAGACCAAATACCATTTTATTTTCAATTCTATTTAAATAATATAATTAACATATAATAATTAAATTAAATAGAAAATTAAAAAATACAAAAACAAAAATTATATAACGAAAAAAAGAAAATTGAGAAAAAAACAAAAAAAAATACAAAACAAACAAAATATATATAAATTGAAAAAACATTAAAAAATAAAAAACGAAAAAAAAGACAAATACCTATTTTATTTTCAATTCAATTAAAATAAAATAATTAACATATAATAACTAAATTAAATAGAAAATTAGAAAAAAATACAAAATGACAAAAAAATATAAAATGAAAAAAAAAAAAAATAAATAAAAAAAAACGAAAAAAAAATATAAAACGAAAAAAACAAATATATATATATTATATATATATATATATTAAAAAGAACAAAATATATAACAAAAGAAAAAAATAATCTTTATCATATATTAACAAGGAGACAGCCACACATGAGCCATCTATTATAAATAAGTCTGTCGAGATAAGAATATGTCTCTTATTACCTTATTGTGCAGATTAAAATTCTATTTTCATCAATAAAACTGCCATCATACGACATATTTTTTTATAGCCTATCTGAATTCTGTTGTAATATAAAAAAAATTTGTCATAACATAAAACATTTCGGTTGTGAGTATATGTCATTCTAGCAATTTATATTTTTATATAACAAATCTGCTATCACACTCCAGATTTTTTGTTAGGAAAAAAAATTGTCATAACATAAAATAAATCTGTTATCACTAATAAGTCAAACTAGTAATTATTTTTTTATTAGCTACATTATGACAGATTTTTACCGAAAAATATAAGTCTGACGCCACTAAAACAATAATATTGCCACACATTTTAATAAATCTGTCAAAATTACAAAAGTCTGTGGTGTCATCATAAAATAAGTCTGGCGTGACAAAAAAATCTGCTACAAATTAAATATTTGTCGTAACCTATTTTAAGTAAGTCTATAGGAGAAAAAAAAATCTGATGCAAAAAATCTGTCATAGAAAAATAAATCTGTCATGGAAAATAAACTTGTCACAACTAACCCAGCAGATTTTTCAAATATTTTTTCTCCACGTTTTTAAAATATATTTAAGGGTAATTTTGACTTTTTTTATTCCTAACAAAGAGAGAAAAGGTATTATGGTCATGAAAATAACTCATTTAACCCCCAAATTTTTTGAGACATTCTAGTAATTAAACTCATAATTTGGGTTAATCTGGTAACTTTCCCATATTTATATTGTCTTAAAACGTGTAGAGACTTCTTTGAAAATAGAGAAAAATTTTGGGATGATTCTGCAAATATTCAAAACTTCAAAAACATACGAGATCGAATTGCCGTTAGATATTGGTGTCGATCGACACATACACCAAGATTGGTCTCCGGACTGCTCTTGTATCATCATAACATCTCGTTTTTGCTCTAGAATTATCCATAATCTCCAAATTGGTCCTGTGCATGCATAAACCTGAAAAACACTAGAAAAGACTCTAGAAATAACAAAAATACTCTAATAATAATACCTATATCATGGTTAAATAACCGTAAAAACCATGATATATCAATATTATTAGGGGATATTTTAATTCATTTGATTAATTATCATGAAATACAACAAGTCATTTATATTAGGGTTTCGTGCAAAACCCTTCAAAGTCGCCAATTTTTGCAATTTTACCTTCAACCTCTAAAAAATGTAGAATAATCATATGAAGCAAAAAATAATACACAATATAACCCCTTTTCGCTGTTCT